TTCCTCCAACAACTGTTGTAATTTCTCTTCTTGTTTTTTTTCTTTCTCCTCCAACAACTGCTGTAATCTCTCTTCTTGTCTCTTTTCTCGTTCTTCTTGTTTCTTTTGCTGTTCTTGTATTGCTGCCATCAAATCTGCTATTTTTTTTATCCCACTTCTCACACCAATTTGTTACGCCTCTGGTCGTTTGTTAATTTCCCGTAAAAATTCTTTCTGAAGAAAGTTTAGCGATACAAGTCCTTTCTTAAATAAAACTAGTTTATTCTTTCTCAATACAACTTTGCAATACACTTAATTTCCACAGTCACGCTATAACTTAAACAAACGCTATAATTCACAACGAACGATTCCCGCGCTTGACTCAATTGTCCGTCTCTATCTCTGTCTGCAATTCAATTCCGATTGATTCATCTCACGTTAACCGGCGCACTTATATACTGGAATAGAGGGCGCCTAGCACATACTGGATTATTCGTGATGTTCCCCGATCCTTCGAGAATATCATGAGGTGTTACCAGTGTTACGTGACTACCGCTGTCGTAACAATATGCTAATTTTAATTCTGTACTTTTGACAATATTCTTCGATTTCATTTAAAACTGGTTGTAAATTATTTGCTGCTATTGAGGGTGTATTTGAGCTCTTCCAGATAGCCACACCATCTGCAACTTGTGACTTTGAACTATAATCTGAGTCTATTAGAGGCATGTCGCTTACATACATGATATATAATATAGGACTAACTCCTCCTCCTTGAGAGACACCCGCCTCTGGAGTGAAATACTCCGAGTAGGTGTCCTCGACATACACTCTACATTTTCTGTTTTCAAGAAAGTTAGATAACCAGTGAATAACTCCTGTGTGTAATTACATTTGTTTTAATTTGAATCTTAAACCATTATGCCATACAGTGTCAAAAGCTTTCTCATATCGAGAAAGCAAGCGACAGTGCATTTCTTTTTGTTAAAACTATCTATTACGGTTTCAGCAAGCCAAACTAAATGATCCGTTGTTTGCCGATATTTTCTGAAACCGTTTTGTACTTCAGTTAATTTTGAAGTGATCTCTAGAAATTTTAAGATCCTATTGCTAATAATTCTTTCTAAAATTATGCCTAAACAGCTAGTTAGAATGATAGGGAGGTAATTTTTTGGCTTATTGATTGGTTTTCCTTCTTTCAAGAACATCAATACATTGGCTTGTTTCCAAGAGGCTGGGATATATTCCGAATTTAGGGATAAATTAATTATTGCTGTTACGTGGTCAAACAATCTATGAGTGGCTTTCTTTAAGAGTATGTTTTGTATTTAATCTTCACCAGGTGTTTTTTTTTGTTTATCTTATGGATATTATTACTTCAGGCTTGGTTATTGTATTGATGATTTGTTGCGCTTAGTCGTTATTATTGTTTTGTGTGTTTGTAATAGTGGCCGGAAATTTTGGTGTAGGCAAATCATTATTAGTGTTGCCATATAATAACAATATTTCAAATTTTCCCGCGGAATTCTATGTGTTATATCACTAACTTCCTGGGTTCGAGAGTGTATCACGCCACATGCTCATAAATAATGTGCCGGCGTGTAGTAGTGCTACTGTGTGCGTCGTCAGTACATAACTTTTGGAAGCTAAGCCTTGTTATGGTCGTGTTATTTACTTTATAATTATATCTTATTTATTTCCTAACCATAAAATCTGCTTACACGTGAAATAGGTAAGAAGCTTTGTATTTGTACTAAATGTTTAGGCTTATCCTGGAATGTATAAACTTTAACGTGTGTTTGAGTTTTGTTTTGGATTTGTTATTGGCTAACGCAGTGCAACTGCACCTAGTCACTGGCATTAGATCCTAAATAATTGTACATTCACTAAACAGTAAAATATGTTACTGTTTCAATTGTCGCTGTTTCGGAGACGTTCATCGTTTCAATTACCCGTCGTTGCCCAAGTTTAAATTTTAATCAATTTGGGTAGTATATGTTATATGGCTTTTGTTTGTTCTTAGTTTTATTTCAATTAACTGTATTAATATTAGTACTAATATTACTAATTTACTCTGTATTACTGAATATTACATAATAATTATAACATTAATAGTACTATATAATAGTATTACTATTCGTAATAGGGCTACTCCCTTTGATAAGAACATACCAGTTTTGATGTGTACTTTGTCTCTTAGAATATCCTTTAAGTTTTTATTAATAAAGTATTTTACAAAAAGATTAATTAGTAAGCTGGATTCTTACTAAATTTGTTGGAAAAGTAGATTATATTACTAGATAGAAAAATTGGTTCACAGTTAAGTACTTAAAAGTTAAAGTAGGCAGTAAGTAATAATAGCATGAGCATTTTTTCCATTAGGAAAATGACAAGTAGTGGTACTTTCAGAGGTACCTGTTTTGGAATATTTGTTTTTTGCATTTTGTGCCAATAATTTGGATAGTTTCAAGAACAGTTATATTTCATTATAATACTAAAATGCTAGAAAAAATGACACTGGTTATGTCAAAATGTGGAAAATATTAAGAATATTCCAATTTTGAGAAGTGCAGGAAACTTCGAATGGACTTTTTTGTATGTTTGATACATTGGTGTTTTGGACAAAACAAATATTTTTATGTGATATTTGGTAAAACTTTAGCACTTTTCTGGGTATTTAGCTGTGGTGAAAAGAGCTAATTAAGCTTATGTTTCTGTTAATAGAAATTATGAAATTAATAGTTTTAACTATGTTTAAAACTGGTGAGGCCTTGTTTGAAGTACTGTAAGCAGTTGTGGTCCTCTTCTTACAGCAAGAGTATTGATAAATTGTAGAAATGGTCTATTAAATGACAGTTTGGTTAAATCATTTAAACTATGAGGAAAAGTTTTATTTTTCTATAATTTACAACAATTACAGAAACCTAAAGTGCTCGAAATACAGACTGTTTTCTCACAGATATGGCAGAATGAAAAGGATAGTAAACTTGAAGAAATAGTAAACAAATTTAAAAGCAAAGATGCACATTTATTCATTACAGAATTTTCTGTTTAGATTAGCCATTATCTTTTCTTTCAAAATATAGTGCACACTCTGGAAATGTCTTATTTCTGAGAAATAACTGTTATTATCCTCATAGAAGGTATTCATGAATATATATATATATATATATTTTTTGTGTAGGTAGAATTTTACATGTCTTTAAATAATCATTAATAGGAAACCAATGAATGGTAAGAACTGTGCATAACTACAATAAAAATGATGCAATGCTGTTAGACTTTGTCACATTTTTTACATGTGCTTGTATTTTTTATTTTTTTAGTTGAATTAATTTTTTCATAATGTGTTTTCTTGATCATCTGTTTTTATTATCAGATTTATTAATTGTAGCAGCTTTATTCATTCATAATTAATCACAATTATTAGGCTTTTAATCTGCTGTTAATGGCAGTAGTATAAAGAATAAAAAGAGAAAAATGTTTGTATAAATTTGGTGACAAACTGGAGAGTTACGCGATAAAGCAAACATTTTGAATACGTATGAAATAGTAGAGTGTATAGAAAATTAGTATGAAAACATGCCAAGAGTGGTTTCCTTTATCCTTTAGATGTTGTAGTACCTCATTCTAATAAAATACATCTTGAAAATGCACATAAGTATAATATTGGGAAAGGATAAAGAATTAGATAAATAAACAATCTTTAAATGTGTGAGATAAAATGATTTATCTTGTAACAAAAAATACTGTAATTGAAGGTGACATTGTAGCATCAGTTTGTTTTGGAAACTAATGATTGGTACAGTGTACTAGTAATCTAAGGGAATCAGTTATGTTAATAGTTGAAGCTGTTTGTCTGACTGAAAAAATGTAGGTTATGAAATCGTTGTTTGCTAGACTTTTCCAACTTAACACAGTTTAACAGTTTTTTTTTATCTTATATTCTTTGATTACTTTGTCTTATGGTTATTATTGCTAAATGTATAAATTCACTGAGGCATAACATGTATCACAAGTTTTCTTTTGTTAGTATTATGCAAAATACAGGGCCATCACCTATTATTGTACGTTTTGTATTATAGAATGTGGGCATAGGGTGTAAATCCTATTCCTAGGGTTTGTCTGTCATCTTGTATCCTAGTGTATATAAGTGAACTTATCAGTGTCTGTCAGCTTGTATCATAGTTGTATACAAGAGAATTTGCCAATAATGATTATAGTCTATCACAATTCAGAAATATCCCTAACAAAAATCAATTTAATTAAAATTTTGATTTTATGATTGATTACGAAAATTAACAGTGGAAATGTGTTTAATAATTTCTATTACAGGAATTGAATTTTATATCTTTTAGTAGATACGTTTTAGGGAACTTTTTATAAACTCCTGCTTTTATCTCTGATATTAATGTTGTACATTTTAGAACATTTACAGCAACAACAAACAAGATAACTAAAGGTTATTCAGTACCTAACAATAATAACTAGTTAACTTACAGGTTTTCAAATAATTCAGAAAAGTTGTTTCACTCATTACCTTTTATAACAAGACAAATAATTATTCATCTAATACATCAAACATTAGTAATTCATTTTACTCACAGTAGATGTATTTCTTATTGTTTTTTTTATTCAAGTGAGAGTCCACAGACCATTTTTATCATTTCAGAATTAGGGTTATCTCTGTAGCTAATTTTTCCTAACTTGTAAACAATTTTAAAAACTTTTAACATTGTTTTTTCTCTTATCCATTTGTTTTCTTAATGAAAAACAAAATTTATTTCATATTACTTAAATCAGAATCATTTTTTGCTTAATTCCTCAAACTTTGTGTATAATTTGTACTTATGTCAATTCCATATGGCTATATTTAATTTTTTTTTATATAATATACTAAACTGTATGACTGGTTCTGCTGAATGTTTTATCTGTGTACAAATTTTGTTTCTCTAAAGAGAAAAACAAAAAGATCAGCTAATGGTATGTAAAGTACATATAATAACCTCTTTACCTTTCTGCTCAAAAACTTTTTTTCTTAAATGTTTTGCATTTTTTTCACCTCAGTCATATATGTATTAGGTGTGTTTGACATTTGTTAGTTTTTACCTAAATTATTTTCCTGTTATACCACCAGGGTTTTTTTTGCAATGAAATATTATCTTCTGATATTTTTGATGAATCTTTTTCATATCATATGAAAGTTATTTATAAATCTATATACTTGTAATATGTTGCAGTCTGTATTATTAACTTACATAATTCTAAGAGCTTATGAGTAACAGCAAAAAAATATTTAATAATATATCAAACCACACCAAATCTGTCATATCCTCTCCCCCAGTAGCACAGCGGTATGTCTGCGGACTTACAACGCTAGAATCCGGGGTTTGATACCCGTGGTGGGCAGAGCACAGATAGACCATTATGTAGCTTTGTGCTTAATTACAAACGAACTGCCATATCCAGTGCCGACAAGACCTTTCGCTTAATACCAGGGCTTATCAGGCAGGCTAGAATACGACTGACGTAATAGTGGTCAAGGTGCTATTTATATCACTAATTTCACGAACAACAGTTAAGATGTGATAAAATTCATGAATTGTTGTTATCAATTTTATCGCTTGGAAATCTGATTTTTAGGGTGAGTATTAATAACAGAATATTATTTATGATGTGACACAAGTGCGTATGATATTAAAAAAAACAAACCCTAACGGTTTCTTTAGGTGTATCTGTTTTCTTCGGGTATAGAAGAAGAATGACAATTAATTTTAGAATAGTCATTTCTGAGAAATTTTATAGGAATTATTGTTACTTACGATATCATACAAACGTCAAAAAAGTTATATTACAAATTACATAGGAAACCACTACGCGTATTACCTCGGTTACATGCCTTAGTTTTCTGTTAGTGTTATCGATCTTCTTGTGCGTGCGGGGGATATACATGTACTTCTAGCATGCGCAGTATATATATAATGGTGCTGTTATAGATAAAATTCAATACTGCTGTCACGTACTACTAAAACATGTAGAGCACAAGGCTAACCTCGTTGAAATCTGCTTCGCAATATTTAGTCCGTAGTCGATGACTGTTGTAGTCCAAGAATTGACCGTCACAAGTTTATATGATAGTTTATGACAGTAAAAATAAGTTTACCCAAATGTTTCGTCATGTTGCCTGGATATGAATGGGAGAACAGTTTGAAGTAAACATGTAAATAATCTTAGAGTATATCTTTAGAATTGGGTTACAGGGAACCATGAGAAATGTTTCTAGCTGTGTGATAGGGGAGCATCAAAAGTCTTTCTAGCTGTGGGAAAAGGGAGCTTCAAAAATGTTTCTAGCTGTGTGATAGGGGAGCATCAAAAGTATTTCTAGCTGTGGGAAAAGGGAGCTTCAATAATGTTTCTAGCTGTGTGATAGGGGAGCATCAAAAGTATTTATAGCTGTGTGACAGGGGAGCATCAAAAATGTTACTATCTGACAACTACTGTGATTGTGTTTCATTTTCTATAATGACAATCCGAGTGTTTTATTATAATTATAGAATCTTACGTTTTATGATTATTTTTTTCCATATTAATAAATTTCTTTCAGTTGCATGTTAAAGGTTTTATATTCGTGTGGTTAATACACAGTGTAATAAAATGTAATTTGTGTATGTGTGTGTGTGTATGTATACATATATAGTTATCGCTGGAAAAAACAACTATAGTTTGATTAGTCTTTCTACAATTCTCTCTTAATAGACCTTAGTTTGAACAGTGGATATACAGCAACATACTTTTATTTTTAGATTGCTCTAAAATAATATAATTCACTATTTAGGTAACTAAAATATATGTGTTTTCTGTTAATATACTGGAATGAATTGTGCATTCTTTTTAGGTACTGCTATAAATGCGTATGTAACGATAGTATAATATTTTAATAAGGAGTGTAGTGGTTGTTTATATAGTTATAAAAATATTATTATTAGTGTAAAAAAATCATTTGTAGCTCAATTTTTGATCAAATATAGTAGGAACCGTTTCATAGACAATGTTCTCAAACAGATAAACATAAAAGGTCTCATTACTTTTTACTGGAGTGGAAGAACTTTCAAAGTTGTGATGACATACAGGAGAATAACTAACTTATCTATTTGAGGAAGGGGTCTGCTGGTAAAAAAGCATGTTTAAGCTCATAAAGTAGAAACACAGTATTCACTCTTTCACAGGTCTGGTATGGTCTAGTGGTTAGGGTGCTCGATCCGCAATCTGCGGGTCGTAGTTCAAATCTTATCACCGAATATTCTTGTCCCTTCAGCAGTTGGGGTGTTATACTCCTACTATTTGTTGGTGGAAGGGGTAGCCTAAGAGTTTGTGGTGGGTGGTGTTGGCTAGCTGCCTTCCCTCTAGTTTATCACTGCTAGCACAGAAATTCAAAACAAACAGTTTCACTCATCTCCATCTCGTTGTTAGCAGGAATAAACACTGGTGGACATACAGACTTTTACGTCCTACAGAACGGTGCAATTCATGGTACACATCATAGGGGCTGCATCATACGACCCTTTGTGCTACTGTTTACTGATGCAATTGACCCTAACTTCTGCTCTGGAAAAAGATGAATTGACCGAATGAAATTATCTACACACTGGCCAAACACAAATCCCACTCAACATTTATGGTATGGTTTTGAGAAACTCTTCACACCTGCCCCTCAGTGGCACAGCGATATGTCTGCGGATATACAACGCTAGAATCCAGGTTTCGATACCCGTGGTGGGCAGAGCACAGATAGCCCATTGTGTAGCTTTGTGCTTAATTACAAACTCCCTGGTACTAAGAATGACCTAGAAACAGCTTTTTCAGCAGAGGTCGAGGATATGTCGAACCTTATCAACACTGATTTCAAGAAATCAACATTAGGGCTAGGCTGTTCTTGTACTTGAGTGAAATGCCATGAACTGTAAACATGTAAAACTACTCTATGTTCATTTAAAAGCGTAAACTAAAGGACTAATCATTTGCACTTCAGATCACATGATGGATCGTCAACTTGTTGATTCGCATAAAAATCGAGAGGCGATTGCTATTATTTTATTATTGTTTTGTCCTAGATAAATTGTAAGGCAGCTGTTTTCCATATAAGGGGTCAGCACATCCCCTGGGTTTGTCACCTAGTACTCAACTGTTAGTTACAATTATCCTCTGTTTTGTGCGGTATAGATAGTAAACCTTTCTCAACTGGTACTACGCACTAATACGACTTTCAGATGTAATAATTGTAGGATTATGTAAATACAGTGATTAAAAAAAGTTATCGAGACGCTTACCTTTCGATATGATAATTTGTCGTGATCACAACGTGAACTAATAAAACAGTATGTTAAAACTTCAGTATCCTTAACGTTTGTTTGTTATGTACTTTTGCCTGTGCTCACCCTCCCCAGTGGCACAGCGGTACGTCTGCGGACTTACAACGCTAGAATCCGAGTTTCGATACCCGTGGTACGCAGAATACAGAGAGCCTATTGTGTAGCTTTGTGCTTAATTACAAACAAACAAGCTTTTGCCTGTGACAAGTTAAAATGACAAAGAATTCTTGGTTTTGAATGATTTGCCCGCATTATCACAGTTTCTGTCAGCGAAATTGATTCAGAAACATTCTACCTGAAATCAAGAATTCATAATTTTTATCGAAATTTATCTGAAAAGTTTCAAAGGTACTAATTGAAATCACTTTTTTCTTCTATAGATTTGTTTATGGAAAGCTGAGCTACTCGTTTTTGTTAGTGTAACGACTAACTTCACCTTTTTTTTCTGTTTTTATACAATTATTTGATAACAGTAACAAACTTGAATGTGTTGGTTGCCTTTATAATTTCTCGTTTTATCTTCCGCAATGAGAAGACGCCTGTAATAAACACATTTAATGTTAAGGTTCACGTGATGTTTTGCAATACGATCGCTAAAGAAAATGACATTCATTCATTTCATAGGTTGGTTGTATATACACTGTTATGTTTGTAAACACTTTTAGCTTGTGTATTTGAATATGTTGATTACACAATAAACGTTATATGATACCTTTAAGTCGTATTTAATTGAAAGTTGTCACTTGATCGTTTAATGTTGGAACTATTTTCTGTTTGTATCTTCTCGACGATACAAGGTAAAGTTGGAAGTTCTAAGAGACTGAACTGCAAGGATACGATTTTGTTTCTTTACTCTTAAGTTACTGATGGACCCCGTCGGTTTTGTAAGCACGTTTTTCTAAGCTATTTATACAACAGGTTATTTGTGAGTCTTTTGTTTATATATGAATCACTTAATAAAAATTAAGTAAAGATACTTAAAAAAATTGCAGTAAAGGCTAACTTCTGCTGGGTTTTCTTGTGTATTTTACCTACAAAATACGTGGTGTCTTTCAGTGTTTTTGATCCATTTTTATACTCGGTTTTTGTAACAGGCAAAGACGTATAGTTACGCACTATGATGCAATATTTGACACCATTTTTTGTCAACAGTTTAAAAACAAGGTGATAATTTGCTTATATTCACGCTACTGTGTTGTTTTGCCTCATCAGGCTTACACAGGTTTTCTTACTTTTGACCTTCATATTTCAACCTCTCATCAACTTGTCTTCATATAGATTATGTTAATGTCAGGAAGAACTGTCCAAAGATGTTTTTGTTGTTTAATCAAGACTAGTTTGAACACTCAAAACTTTGGATTTGGCATTATTGTAAATAAAGAATAAACACATTTTTATACTTGTTCTTTGGTAGAAGCCATTCTTTTAGAAATGATCCTGTGTAAATAAGCTATTCCATTAAAATTATAATGTAAATGACATGCTCCTATAATTAGTGTGGTCAAATATGCTGAAGTGGCTATAATAATCTTATTTAATTTTGTAATTATATACTAACACTGGTGTTGACTTCTGTTCACTGAATTCTTGTCAGTCTTCCTTTCCTTCTGTAAGTGAATAAATTCTTGAAGACAAGGTGTCTGTGGAAAGTTTTATCTTTTCGTGCTTTATATAGTAGATTAGAAGTTTCTAATCTTTACGATAAAGCACACACACACACAAAATGAAATAAATAAATTTTGCGAAATCAAGCTTGACCAACAAAGAGGCAGAAAAGTGCAGTCGAGGCAGTCAATTCCATTGTGAGCCAGTCAAACTTAGTATCAGTCATGAAATGAATTCGTGGCGTATTCGTAGCATAATTATTGGTAAAAAATAGTTACATTAACAGCTTCTAATATAAAGAAAAGCCACTGCGTTTTGGTAACACTACGTTCCAACAATGGCTTTTATGTCCCTTATCAAGAAAAGTACAACCTTATATGGTTGTAATGAAAATCTATAATAACTGGTCAGGTGGTTAGGGCACTCGACTCCCAATCTGAGGGTTGCGGGTTCGAATCCCCGTCACGCTAAACATGCTCGCCCTTTCAGCCGTG